TATATTTAAATAAAAAGATTATCTAAAAATACGAAAAGGAATCCAACAATTGTATCAAAGGTAATATATTTAAGCGGAAATTGGTATTTATAATGTATACTTGAACCTAGCGAGGCTAGATCTTGATCTTTTATTTTGAAAGTTCTGGCGGAAGTTGCTAAAGAGACTACGGATCCACTCCAAACAAAAACGGTCGGTGCTCCGCAGCATCCATCCTATTTTTCACCGGGTTTGAAAAAAAAACAAAACCCTTTCTTAGCGTGAAAACGGGCGGGCCGTCGCTCCTCTGCTGAGTCCACAGTGTTTGTTAATGTCGATTTAATTCGCGGTTCGGCGGCTGGTGTCGTTTCTCGGTGGCTGAACATGACGAGCTATACGGGGTTTCACTCTCAGCTGACGTCCATCATGGAGGCGCTGACCAAAGCAGCGGTGGCGGAGATCTGCGAGCTGGTGGACGACAGCTACGCGGTGCTGCGGCTGGAGATCACCCGCAGTCACAAGGAGAACGAGGCGCTGCGGAGGAAACTGGAGCTCATTGAGTCCATAATCGCCCGGGGTCACCGGGGCAGCGCCGCCGTGCTGGAGGAGGAGGAGGGCTGCGAGAGGCTGCTGGATTTCACCCCGGGTGAGTTTTCAGGCTTTCGGTCATCTGCAGGTCAGTGATGTTTCGAGCGCGAGACTTCCTGTGTCTAGGCTCACAGCGCGTTTCAGAGCGACGTGAACCAAGCTCCATTGAAAAACAGTTTAAAAGGCGTTTTTTCACTGCCCTGTCAAAGATTCAGACACTTTTGTCTCCGCATGATATTTTCCAACAGTCATGTATAAATTCGGCTTATGAATCAAAGTCAGGACTGCACTCCGTGTACACTTTATTCGGGTGTTTTCACTGTAAACCAAGCACTGGTAATGCGTTTACCAGTCCCACTTTGAATGAACCAAACTTTCCAGCTGCTTCCATCAGCCGAAATAAAGAGATGGTATAAAGACGCAGAAAATACGAGTCATAACTAGAAAAACAGAAAAGATCTTGAGATTTAAAGGTGGATTTCATTAAACGACTTTATTTTTAACGCTACCAAAATTACTGACTTTGATATTTGGGGGCTAAGGTGGGAGTTGGCAGCTGCTGTTTGACGATTCAACCAGCAGCTGACCAGTTATAAACCCATTATAAACCCAGAATAAAACCAGTTAAACCTAGTATGAAACCTGTATAAACAGTTATAAAGCCTTATAAAACCAATTAGACCAGTATAGAACCAGTTATAAACCAGTATAAAAGATGTTATAAAAACAGTGTGAAACATGTTTGTTCACTTTTTTACTGTATTTTTTTCAGTTATTGACCTCTTTTATTTCATCTTTTATTTAATTGAGCTTCTTTTTGTTATTGTTTTGTCATATTTGTGATTTATTGATCTTTTCCACTGTTGTTTAACATTTTAGCTGCTTTGTTAGAAGAAGTTTCCAGCTCCTGGGATAAATAAAGAATATTTCATCATATTAAATAAATAACTACAGAGCCGCTGTCTCATTCAAATCCCTTAAAAAGATTAATTAAGTTTAAGTTCTGTGCATGTGCAATATTTGGTCTGAAAGATGCAGCATTCAATCACAGTCATGTGACTTTAAAACCTTTAAAGTTTTACATTCCTCACAGTTTTAAAATCAGCACAAAACGGAGACAGGAGTGGATCCTGTGTTTTGTGTTTCTCGGTCTCCTGACTCACTTAAAGACCTTTTTTTGTGTTTGTGGCGTTTTTTTAAAATTCTCTCAGATCATGCCTCGCCCGCTGGAGTCAGCGCCAAACAGCCGAAGGCGTCAAACCTCAGACGATGTGGACGTGTCGCGGTGCTGGAGGTGACAGCGGAGGCGAGTCCTGCAAACGCAGAGGTGAGATTTCCCACCACATCAGCTCTGAGCAGACCCGATCACAGTCAAATAACGATGTGCTGTTAATGTGCAACACGAGGAGGGGCTTCCTTTTTAATTTTCAGAAACGTTTTTGCCTCGTAGTGTCGTTTTTTTAATCAAATTAGAATTAAAATCTTAGCAGCAAGCTCAGTGAAGCTTTCTGTTTCCCTCTGAATGATTTGAAAACACACGGCTGAACTAAATGATGTCAGCTCCACGTTTGATCAGCTGCACTAAAGTTTTCCTCTAAAATAAATAATCCAAAAAATAATGAAAAGGTCTAAAGTGTAATAAAGTTTGCACAGATTTTGATAAAAAGATGAAAATGGAATGAGTTTGGATATTTAGAGAAAAAACTTTTTTTCATGAATGTGAAAAGTCGCTAAAAAGCTTTCATCGTAATCAGGCCACACTTAGCAGGTCTCCCTGAATCAGAGGAAGCAGACCGAGGACGAGGAAACAACGTCTCCCTGAGACATCAAAGACAAAACAGCAGGAAGAACATCTCCAGACAGAAGGCCGGTTTTCTGCACAGCGCTGACTTTTTTCCTCTAAACAGCAGAAGATGTGTCACTGTCACAAACATTTACTACAGCTCTGCTTTTTCTAACTGTCAGGACGGTTCGACAGCAGCTGCAGAGGAGACAAACGAACAGGATGTTGTTCTGATAAAAGAGGAAACACCAAAAGAGGAAGCTGAATCTGACCTCGCTACAACAGATGAGCTGCTTATCAGTGAGGACGGTGAGCAAGCCAGCAAAATGTATTTAATTCCAGGTGGAGGCACAGAGACACTGTGTGGATGTTAAGTGTGTCTATTGATTTAGTTTAATTGCATTATTATTTAAGAGCAACAATCACAGAGTTCCTTCTTTAAAAATGCTAAAACTCACGTGTTAAATCCTTACAGTAAAAATAAATAAATCAATAAGTGAATATTTTAAACTAGCAGCAAAGTTCCACCAAATAAAAGCAGCAGAAACAAAATCAGATCAAACCAACTGCAGTCCAGTCAATTTAAACTTTCAAAATAAGAGCGAGGGGACAGGCCAGCAGTAAATGGATGGGCTTTTTTTTCCTCTGATGAATGAAAAATAAAATTGTAATTATTTTTTCATTTGTTTTTCAAGACTTCATTTATGTATTTATTTTACCTCAAGGATAAAATATACTTTATTTATCCTAAAGTTGGGGAATTCCTGTTTTACAGCTGAAAAAAATTTAACATAAGTAGATTAAATAAATTCTAAATTTAAAAATGATCAGAAAATGAAATAAATTAAATAATTAGGAATTTAAATATGCGTATTAAGTAACAGCCACAGACTGTATATACCAGGGGTCAGCAACCTTTAACACCCAAAGAGCCATTTGGACTCGGTTTCCACGCAAAACAAAACTCTGGGAGCCGCAAATAACCTTTTTGACATCTAAAATGAAGATAACACTGTATATATGTGTTGCGGATTATCTGTCGCAGTCTGCCGCATGTGGCTACACTGAGCTCCTCCACCAGTGTGTGAATAGTGATAGTGTGTCGTTGTGCTAAAACGCTAATAATTATTATAAATTGAGTTGTGTACATAGGGTTGCTTATGAAATCCATGAAGTGCTACAGAGAAAATTACATTTTATTTATGTAATTAACACATTTTGAACTCTTAAAGAAATATAACAAAAGGAAAGCTGAACTAAATGATCCAGCAAACAAAAACTGTGTGAGCCGCTATCCTCATACCTTGGCCTGACTTTTAAAAAATAATTGAAAAAAAGCTATTGCTAAAATAATGATATTTGCAAAATTCTGCCTAAATATGTATTTTACGTGTGGGGCGTGGTCTGCAGCGCCGCTGCAGGGGAGGCGGACGCACCTGAGCGGCACCCGCAATCACGCCTCGCTAACGTCTGTGCTCTCTCTGCTGTTGTTGGTGTGTGTCGGGCTGTGAGCTGCAAAGCTACAGCCGCTGTGTGCGTACAGCAACCGTGTGTGTAAAGTGGTCAATAAAGAGATGCTGAAAAGCGTGTTCATGCAAACATCGTCGGGTCTGCCGTGATATGTTTACAATGGGACTTCTGCTCCTGAACCTCTGCGCACAGCGTCTGCAGATCGGGGCTGTACGAAGTCACTTTCATCTTTACGCAGGACTGTAAGCTGTCATCTGTGAGGCGTGAGCGTGTTTGTTTTTAACATAGTTCACGGTGGAGCTGCTGACATAATGTGGATCCGAAGATCCATAATTGGCCTCCTGGGGTTGAAAGTCTCGATAAATGCCACGCGTTTCGGCGGGTACACCGGCTTCCGCGAGTGTGACGCTTATTTTGAGCGATGAAAAAATAATAGAATATAATTTTATTTTTATATTTCAAATCACAATAATCTTCCAATTTAGAACTACAAGTTAAAAAGAACTAACATAAATAAAAACACTTCAGCTAAATACTTCTAATTTATTTTCCCAAACCACGCAGAGCCGCACTGTAAGGACTAAAGAGCCGCAGGTTGCCGAGCCCTGGTATAGAACATAAAAAATAAGGTCAGTATGGAAGCGCCTTAAACCTGCGTTCTGTCTGAAGGCCACCAGGTGGCGATAGATGTGGTTGCAACAAGATTTCTGGTGCTGTTGAAGAAAACAACTCTGACCTCTGTAAGCATCTTGCAGCTGAGTTTATGTGCTCTCTCATTTTGGCTCATTCTGAATTAAAAAAAAAAAAAGTTTTAAAAATCTTGGTCATGTAAATGATCTGTAACCTGTCAGTCACAAGTTATTAGCCAATGAGCATGATTCCACCGTCAGACCCGCCCCTCCTCATCACCTCTTGTTTTTTTGCAGTCAAGCTGAAGCCCTCAGGCTTTAAACTATCTGTGGTAATAATACATGAGAAAGTATAATTTCAAAATAAAAGCATGTGGTAGAGCACGTGCAGGAAAAACAGCTGTTTTTGTTTCTGTCACATTAAAAAACAAAATCACACGATAAAAGAGGAAGAAGAGATTCCTGACCTGCTCCGTTTGAACTTCAGTTTTCCTCTGTGTGTCTGCAGGGACCGAGGTGCCGACGTCAGAGACGGAGGACAGTGAGCAGGGCGCGTCTCGGTTGAGGATCTCAAACACAACCTGCGCCGACCTTCGGCCGTGGGACCAGAATAATAACGCAGTCTCAGAGCAACTCGCGCATCACGAGTCCCGCAGCACGCCCGGTTCCCCGCGGCCCGCACGGGGCGTCGAAAGCTGTTCCTCGGACATCGTGTTTGACTTGGCGTCCGAGTCGGAAGACCGCGTTGTGTCTGTGGCTCACAGCAGGAAGTCGTTCCTGCTTGAGTCAGGAGGAAGTCCGGCCTCGCTGCCCGGGACCTCGGAGCTGAAGCGTGGCGTCTCCCTGATTAGTTCACTGCCCTTTGACTCAGAGCTGGATCTGTGCTCATCATGGACCAATCAGGGCCTGCCGAGCATGGTGCCCGTCCCTCACCGGCCGTACCTGAAACCGGACCAGCGTCCCACGCTCATGGACAAACCGTCTGACTTAAATGCCGGCAGTTTCCCTTTGGCGCTGGCGCTTGGTGGCTCCAGGCTGGACGCTCTAGAGCTCAACCGCTACAGCAGGGACCGCCGCTTCGTCTGCAGCTACTGCGGCAAGTGCTTCACGTCCTCCCGGAGTCTGGAGACGCACGTGCGCGTCCACACCGGTGAGCGGCCGTACAGCTGCGCTCAGTGCGGGAAGCGCTTCACACAGTCGGGTCACCTGAAGACGCACCAGAGCGTGCACACCGGGGAGCGGCCATTCGCCTGCGAGCACTGCGGGAAGAGATTCGCCGGGAAGCAGAACCTGAGGATCCACCAGCAGAAGCACCATCAAGGCAAGCAGGCGGTCGCAGCCTTTTAACCTGGTTACCAGAGAACTCGCTGCTGTTACTCAGTTCTAAGACATTTGATTGGAAACTGATTTTATATCCACTGATCAGCCAAAACATTAAACACTCCTAACAGGCTTCCCTGAATAAATAACATCGTGTGCGGTCGGATTACAGTGGATGTTCAGCTCGCAGCACATTTCTAGAAACGAGAATAATTGTTGCCATCTGACCAGCCTGAAGGTGGAGGAACAACATGGGAGGAGCCAAGCAAAAGAGTAAAAACAAAGGAAACACAGGAGAAACCCTGGAACTGTTCACTGTGGATCAGTCACCGTCAAAATCTAACTTATCCACTTCATACCTGCTTCGACACTCTGTCGTCGTCCACTTCTGTCTGCAAACTCTTCTGAAAGTTCCACAAAACCAACAAAACACTGAGGACCTCCACCCGCTGCACCTGTGGCAGCACGAGCTGGTTCTAATGTCGTGGCTGCTCGGTGAACAGACCTGATCAGTAGCTCTGACTGCTGTTGTCTTTCAGGCCTTACCTGTTTGTAACCATCTGCCTCTGTATTAAATGAGGCCCTCTGACCTGACCCGGTCCTTCATTTCTTACAAACAAACACGGCCCTGTTTCCAGGTTCCCTTTGATTGTTTTCAAGCTCAAAAACTGAAGAAACCGGCGTTTGGATGGAGCATGTGAATATTCTTTGTTTGGCGTATATCTGGAAATAAAAGTGTGCGCGCTCACATTGATCATTTTCTTTGCTTTGCTCGTGTTTCAGGTGCAAAATCTGAGGGAAGCAAGAAAATTCATATTTTGGACGTGATGGTCATCTGTTAACGACTGTGTTTTAAGGTGGACATAAAAAAGATCCATCAGAGAAAGAACCACAAAAATACAGTTGCTGTTTAGTTCAGTCGATCGATTAGGAATTCTCAGTCTGATCTCATAACTTTATTATACATTATAAACTTATATTGTATAATAATGTGTTAAAATTAGAAAATAATTCAATTTTCAAGTGCTTTGAGGGGTCAGTGAGACTAGAAAAACTTATTATTTCCAGTTATAAAAATATGTATAAAGTATAAATTATAAGAAAATTAAAAGTCAATGTGAGCACAGAAAAGAAGTTCAATTATAAGATGTCAAAATTATGCAAAAAGCATCTGAAATGTGAGAAAAACTTTAAATTCTAGATTCTGAGAACATTAAATATTAGAGAAAAATGTCAAAATTATGACAAGAAAAAAGTTCAGTTCAACATAAAAAAACTAAAAACTACAAAGTTGAAATTTTAAGACATTATTTGTCTTAAAATGTCTAAATTATGAAACTTTGTAAAAGATTGTTTTGAAATTGAGAATAAAATAAAGATGATAAAATAATGAGAAAATTCTTTTTTTAAAAAGTGAAAACATAAAAATTCTGTTTTTCAAAATAAGATGTGAGTATTACGAAAAAGCATGATGAGATTAAAAAGTAAATCAAAAGATAGTTTAAAAAATATCATGACATATTTACATTAGATGAAAATGATGAGATGTTAAAAGTGAAGAATTTCACCATTAAAAACGATAAAACCAAAATGAAGCTGAGAAGTGAAACAGTAAATAATGTTAAGAATATTACAAACATTTAATAAAAACATTAAAAAGTCAAAATTGAGATAAATGTAAGTAAAAGGTCAAATAAATCATTTCATTGTGATTTAATTTTGTCTTCATTACTTTAGGAAAACTAAACGATCCTTGATTTACCTGCAGGTTAACACACCTGGAGTTCTGCTTTCTGAGGAGACACCTGGCAGCCAATCAGAGGACAGCGTTTCCTCAGGCAGCGTCTTGTCTTTGTTGTGTGTTTGGAGTCTGAACCGTGCTCTCCGTTCAAACTGACAGCTCCACCGCTCAGCCTGCAGTTTCTAATAAAAACAACCAGAATCTGTCTTTAAATTATTCACACAGTGGCGCACACACACGCCTCAAAGCAGTTCAGCAAAAATATCATTCGTTTTCAAAATGCTTCAAGGATCTGAACAGCAAACAGAATGTCAGTTTATGTTTACAGTCCTGTTCTATTTATATTGCATTTACTTGAATCTTAATTGGCTTCTATTCTTTCTTATATTTACACAAGTGAAAAATAACAAAATGATAAACAATATAAATACGTCTGTTGGTTCTCAGCCACTGAGGATAGGGTCAACCCAAATACACTCGGAGTCCTGAGCTGTTGAGGTCACCTGAGGAAATGCTTGTCGTGTCCTGAGAGCCGATGTCCTAAGCGACCAATCCCGTTCAGTGATGGTGGATCACAGTGGACACTTGACCTCCTTCACTCCTCTCTCAAACTGCAAAATGTGAACGCTGGCTTCCTCCTTTAAATGCAGCTGTACAGCTGAATCATCAACCCGCGCTCACATCTTGCCTCAGGTGACCTCAGCATGATGGTAGGGTGGACGCTCAACAGGTCACCCTCAGGTAAACCTTGAAGGGCAGAGAACCGACGAGGGGTTAAACACCCGGGAAACACAGCCAGTTATCTTAGAACTGAAGAGGCCTCTTGGATGAAAAGCAGAGTCTTCATGAACATGTCTAAAGACTAAAATATTAATACAAAAGCACAATAAACTAAGGTAATTGAATAAAGTATAAGAAAGAAAGGAATGTTACAATAAATGAAAGATTATTAAAATCCAGCCTCTTCTATTAGATCTTATAGTTTGAGTTCATACATTTTCCAGTTTTAATTTGAATCTTTATATTTATAGTTAGTTATTCTATTTTTATGAGTTTGTGTCAGTGTCATTTTGCATTTTTGTTATTTCAATGCTTTTGTCCAATTTACTATCTGATTTTTTTAAAAAGTCTATTATATATTTTCCTTTTCCTACCGACTTAGCTTTACATTATTACAATTACATTATTATTATTATTACAAATAATGGTTTTATTATTTTATTTAATCTGCACTTTTCATTGTTACCATTATAGACAGTTTTTTCTTATTTATTTAAACCTTTTCACTTGTACTATTTTAACCGCCTGAAAACGCACTTTTTTTCTATTTTTACATTAAACTCTTAGCGCTGTTTAATTACGCATGCTCTGTTCTGTTTTCTTGCCTTTAGCAGTCGCTCACTGACAGTGTAGTTCTGTGGATAACAACAGGCTCTTATTCTGAAGGCAGCGGTGTTGTTCCGGAAGTGAAGTGTTGCAGGAACCGTTTTTCACTCTTTTTTTCTCTTACCGACGGTTGAAAGTCCAAACAGGTTCCGCTCGCGGCTCCATTGCGCCCACCTTGCGGCTCCGTGTGGTCCGGTTCGGGTTCGGATTCCGTTGGTTCGTCGGGATGTCCGGTTTAAGCAGCAAAGCTCTCCACGAGCAGCTCTCCGTCATCATGGCCGCGCTGACCAAAGCGGCGGTGGCGGAGATCTGCGAGGTGGTGGATGAAGGCTATGCGGTGCTGCAACTGGAGATCACCCGGAGCCACAAGGAGAACGAGGACCTGAAGAAGAAGCTACACCTCATTGAGTCAATCGTGGTCCGGGGGAGCAGCGGGGGAGGAGGAGGAGGAGGAAGGGAGGCTGCGGATGCGGAGGGACCGGAGGTCTCACCGCCGGCGGAGGCTACGCAGCAGTCGGGAACAACGCAGCAACAGCGGGAAGGTGACGGACGAGGAGCCGCGGCTGGAGCGGTGCGGGAGGAGGTGAGCACTCCGCCGGTCTGAATCAACCTGAATCCCGGGAACAGGCCGACATCAGAGAGCAACAATAACAATGATAACAACCGCAGGTTGGAGCCGGAAGTGTAATACAGTCAGCTCACAAAACGGAATAAATAACATTTTGTCTGAATGACATAATTACCTAAGAAATGTCCCGGAAACTTTCTAATAGAAACACGTGTATGTAATCACAAATATATGTATTTGTTATAAACAATAATGACTAATAAAATGAACTGAATCAATCTGCAATCAGTATTCAAAACAATTCAGATGATCGTTTAATTTATTGATATTGTGTGCCAATGCTTAAATATTTAACTCAATGTTTTATCTAATCTGACAATAAATGGAAGATATTTACAACGTGTGGCCTTTTAAATCGCCCAAGATCTGAAAATTCTCTGAAATGAGGATAATTTATCAAATCTGATAGTTATTAATTACTGCAGTAATAATCAGAATAGTTTTGGAAATAATTTAAAGTTAAAACTAGTTTAAAAGTTTTCATTTATTTCACTTGAATTAAAACCAAAATGTATAAACCTCGAGTTCATCCTTACAGTTAATCAGTACTTAAAAAGAATCGTTTTCCTCAGATTTAATTTCACTTTTACAAACAGGTTTATGCCATCAAATTTTCTTTTCCAAACAAAAGGAGAAAATGGTCTTATCTCTGCACATGCTCAGTGCAGCCTGATGTGTTTGTTTTGTCATCGGGCCTGAAGCTGGTTTTGTTTTAGAAACCTGAGGGCAGTTTGAGAGAGAGCATGACCTCTAACTGAAGATTTGAGATACTGAAGTTTAAATTAATTTCAATGATAAGTCAGCCAATCAGGAGTCCAGAAACATTTATTCTTCTTTAGTTTGTGTTTCTATAAAAACAGTATTTTAATCGTCTCTTTTTAATGTTGTTTTTTGTGTTCTGTGGCGTCTGCAGCTTCCAGAAGTGGTGCTGATTAAAGATGAGGACTCGGACAGTAACGACGTCTTTGAGGAAGGTGAGTAAACGACCTGCAGCAAATCTTTTGTGTGTTTATTAACAATGATTAAGGTTGTGTTCATGCTCCAGAACGATTTAAAGCAGAGAGAAAAAAACAGAAACGTCTCTGTAAAATAACTTTCTGCAGAGCTATTTACACCCAAACTTCAAAATTTAATTCCAAAGTAATAAAAAAATCTGCTGCACTCGACTCTGAACGCACCACAGGGAACAAACAATCATTAGTAAAGAAACACATCAATAAATTACCAACCATCTCTATTCTAAATAAAAGCTGAGTGTAGTCGTCATGGCTACGGGTTTCTATAATGCTCTATTAGGAAAAAAAGAATTAAGGAGTGACATCTGGTCACTTCACTTCTTCCTTTCCTTTCATTTTCCTGTGTCTCCTTTAAAATGTACGACATGTATCAGTTTACACCGTGCACTGCTCTGATATCAGTGTTAGATTAATGAGCTGGATTTGGCACTGTGAGAACGAGGATGGGAGTCTTTCTTTGTAAGTTAAGGCATGAGTGATTTCTTAACTTTCTAAAAATAAAAATGTCATTCTCAGGGAGGAAAATCATTAAATTAGAAAAATAAATAATACTTACAAAAAAAAGAAAAACGGCACATCATCAACAACATCAAGAATACTCCGGGCTCATCATCCACAGCTGATATTCATCTAATTTGTCCTGATGAGATCGTTCTCATTCCCAACGTGTAGCATACCGACAATTTGTCCCGAGGTGTCACAGGAGCGTTCCTGTGACACGTGTCGGATTGTGGATCCAATCCAACAGAATGAAGCTCCCGGTGGTAACACACGTTCCAGCCGTGTATTCCCGCCCTAAACCGAACCACAACCTTAATCTTGTTAGATGGTGTTTTCTAAAGTGATTCATGATGACAAAGTAAAAAAAAAGTGTACATGTGTAGATTCATTCCAAACGGTTCTCATGTTTCCGAAAGCGTAACATATTGTTGTATGTTAGGTTTTGGGATGAGAACGTGTTGTTCTGATGCTCAACATTTCACAGCATTGAATCTTATCATGAAAACTGTAATGATTCTTTCTTTCTTTTATGTAATTTCTTAGGTACTAAGTTAACAGCTGATGGGGTGGCGCCTGCAGCCAGAGAGGGCATCACGTCGACTCCCATCAGCCGGCGCACAAAGCGGCGCTGGCGTGAAAGCTTGGAGTCCGAGAATAGGTCATCGTCTGAGCAGCTGGCACAGAAAACATCCGACCTGACAGCAGGGACGCAGAAGACCGTCTACACTCTGGACTCTCCCGATCGTGAGCCGGGGGGTTCCGAGCAGCTTGACGACGAGGTCGAGATGGAACCTGGCGAATCTGCCGGGTCGTACTCGTCACAGATGGACCCCGACATTCATCTGGTTCAGGAGTGCTCGCTGGTTCCTTCGAACGCCAACAGGCCGGTTTATTTTAGCAGCGGCACTCTGATAGAGTCTCCGTCAAACCAAGCAGACCTCGATCTGACCGTCGACCCAGGGTGGCCCAAACAGTCAAAGGGTCAAATTACTTTTACTGCGTTTCACCAAGACGGAAACACGGATGGCGACGCCTTTGGACTGAAGGTGCTCAGCGTCTCCGGCTCGACCCCCACAGACTGCCAGCTGTCCGAAGCCAGCAGCTCTGCCTTCGAGTACGAAGACGGCGGCGATGTCATGAACTTTGCCCTATACAGGGACCAGGCAGGGCGGCCGCAGCTCTGCAACGGGCAGCCGAGCGCGGGAGGCAGAGGGAAGCGTTTCGCGTGCTCCCTCTGCAACAAGACGTACGCCACGTCGCAGAACCTGGAGGTCCACATGCGCATCCACACGGGCGAGAGGCCGTTCAGCTGTGAGCAGTGCGGCAAGAAGTTCACCCAGTCGGCTCACCTGAAGTCGCACCTGAGCGTTCACACAGGCGAGCGGCCGTACGCGTGCAGGCTCTGCTCCCGGAGCTTCATCGTCAAATATAGCCTCAAGTTGCACATGAAGAAGTGTCACCCAAACGTCCCGAGCGACCCCTAAATGCTGGTTTTTACGAACATTTAAAAAACATTTATTTTGTGCTCGAGCTGCATCCATCAGCTAATATGACTATTTTTATAACTTAAATTATTACTTAAATGTATCATCTTTTATTCTTTCACTCTAACATCTCAAAACATAAGAGATCAAATCTGTCCATAGTTTATCTAACGTGCTTCACGTGTCTGTGTCACTCTGTGATTGGCCCACATGTAGTTCAGCCACTGAATCTGATGCATCTTGTCTCTAAAAACTGCCTGTAAAAACCAGTTAAGATATTTTTTTTATATCAGCCCTGTTGTCTTTATTTCGGGTGACGTCTCTTGTGCATAAGAAAAAGCCTGGCAGTCGCTACAGACATGAATTGGCCGTGATGGTACTGGGACTGTATATAAAAGATGGACATGGACACTGTGCCATCACTACAGGCTCCGCTTTTTGAAACTAGAAGTGACCATATTTAGATTATAGGGTAGCGTGCAAAGTTATCAGCTAATGCAGAAGTGCCTTAACCTGCATTTTTAAGATGCCACCAGGGGGCGGTAGCTGCCTGGTCCTGTAGACGTCTGTGTGGAAACTGCCCTGTGACCTGACCTCTGTAAAGACATCCCTAATGACTTATAGGCCCAGTCGCTCATTTTCAATAAACCCTAGTTAGTTTTCTAAATTTGGATCATTCTAAAAATTATCCAGGACATGAGTCTGCTAGACGACTCTATGAACAGGTGAAGTCACATCAGCTACATCCATCTTGTAACACTGTCCTCGTCCTTAACTTAAAGCCTTAACAGATTTGAAATATTTCACCCCCCCATGCTGCTCTTAGTCTTCAAACTGTCAAAAGAGACTAGAACCATATTTGTAGCAGTTACCATAGCAGCCTGTAAACATCAAAACATGTTTACAGCTGCTACGGTAACTGCAGCCTGACTCACTGTTGAAGTAGCCTCCGGTGGACATCAGAGGAACTGCAATTTTTCCTTGTACGCTGAAATTTACTCCAAAATACTTTTTTTTCTTTTGTTAACCCTAAAAGCTGCTTAAATTGTTACCACATCACTATGTTCAGCTCCTTTTACCTTAAATACTGACAATTTGAGTTATTTTAACAGACATGAACAGGACATGTGAGCGACACAGAAACCTTTCTAACAAGAATCATAAGGCACGTTACATGTGCTCATCCATAAGCCAGGTTTGTATTGATTAATGTGTTTACATGAATCAATAGTATTACCAAGCAAATCTGTTGACATGTAGCTACATCTGCACGTGCAGCAACACCCAAACAGATAAAAAAACGTCTCATTCTGAATAATTTAAACACTTATGATGTTTAGGGTTTCTAAGTTCATAATTTTCTGTTTTCTTGTTAACATTTCTGCGTTTGTTGGACAAAAGAAAAAGGTTCCAGGAAGCTGTTACACACATTTTTAGGCTTTTTAGCCAAAATTAAGAGCATCATGTTCATCAGTTAAAAGCTGTGCTGTTACAAAGTCTACTGCACATATTGGAAGTTGTTTCACAGAAAGTATTGTTGATACGGTTTATGTTGAATGACAGTTTGTCTAATGTTTGGGTAATAAAGTGATTAAAAAGTGTTTTGCATCTTATTTCATGTGTAAATAATAATTCGTTTGTTCAATGTAGATCAGGATTTGCAGAAACTATCAAAAGCCTTCACAACCAGGTGCAATGTTTGTGTGGTTTTTCCAGACTGTCATTGTAAATAAGAATATGATTTCATTACCTGGTTAAATAAAAGTTCACTGGCTTCAGGCACAATGTTGAGGTACAAAGTGATGCCACATGAAAGTACAGTTCAGTTTGAGTCGATATCTCTGCAACACAATACACAACGTGTTATTTCTTCAAAGTCTGACTTAATTTTCTCACATTAAAACTAATTTTTAAACAAAGTATATTTAGGTATTTAAATCCAGAGAACTTCTCCGTACTAACCATTTCTGGCTTGAGAACCTCGTTATTGCTTGTTTTGTTTTTTCCTTCTTTGGAAAAACAATTTGTAGGACTAAATATTGGCAATATTTATGGCTTTATCAGTGAGCAGGAAATTAGACTACTGGTTGATTTGGTTTGATTTTGTGATTTTATACGGAAAAGCTTGTTTTTAAAATCACATTTTCACACATGTATTTGTTTAATATAGCTTTTACTCTTAAATAATTACTATATTCATTTACATTTGATGGTTAGACACGCTTATTAAAATGGGGACGGGGGTACCGGAGCAAAAAGGCTCTGGTAGAAAAACATCATACATTTCTTTTTTTCTTCTTCTTTTTATAACGAACAAGAGACTCACAAAAACAACAAATAAAATAAATGTTAAAATGAAATATAAACGTGAGTTGATACAGGTTTCATCTCCCTAAGAAGGACAATCAAACGAGGAGTTATTGGGACGTTTTCATACCTGAAATTTGCTTGAAACAGTAAAAGGATACTTTGCACATGCGCACTATGGATTAATTCCAGCCCCCGCCATCACTTCCTGGTCTGTATCGGAGAGCGCACATCAGGTGAGCGGCTACATTCAGGTAAGCTAACGGTGGAGTCTAAGGTCCTGCCTCGAGCCCGCGGTGTGGATTGTTCTGCTTCAGATACACGCACGCGCTGGATTGGACAATGTCCCCCGCGGCCACCTTCCACGCGCAGCTCGCCTCCATCATGGAGGTGCTGGCCAACACGGCCGTGGCGGAGATCTGCGAGCTCGTGGACAGCGGCTACTCGGTGTTGCAGCTGGAGATCTCGCGGAGTCGCAAAGAAAATGAGGTGCTGCGGAGGAAACTGCGCCTCATGGAGCTGCGGGCCGCCCGAGCGACCGCACTGCGAGCCGCGGTTACCGCCAGCGGCAGCGCGGTGCTCCACGCGAGCGGCCGCGCACGAGCCGAACTGAAGAGGAACGCGACCGCGACAGGTAACCGACCGTTAACTTCTAAATTCACAGCAACTACACTGTAAAAACGAAAGGGAAACTTTTTGACCAGAGTGCAGCATGAACTCGATTAATTGACAGTTTGGTAACAGTTGTTAATCATCAGCTGCTTTGGTGTCAATGAAATAAACAACAGAGTACAAAAAGAAATGTTTTATGTTTATTATTTTTCTGACTCTTTCCATTAGTTTTAGAGGTCAGTAGCACTTCTGATAGTATGAGGCGATTCCCGTGCCCTACCTGCAGAGTTTGCACAGGAAGTAAAACACCTCCAGACTGGCACATTAATACGTGCCATTGCCAGCAGTTTTGGTGTGTCTCCCAGCCCTGTCTCAAGAGCATGAAGGAGACTCTAGGACAGCTGGACAGGGCAGTAGGAACCTTAAACCATCAGCAGAACCAGTATCTTCTCCTTTGTGTAAGGAGGAACAGAATGAGAACTGCCAGCAGGCCACTAGTGTGAATGTCTCTTACCAAGCAATCCGAAGCAGACCTTACGTGGGTAGCCTGAGGGCCTGAGTTCCTCTTCTGTGTTTATTGCCCAGCACTGTGAAGCTTGATTGGCATCAGCCATAGAATACCTGATTTGGCAGATCCCCCGCTGGCGCCCTGTGCTTTCCACAAACGAGGGCAGGCTCACCCTGAGCACACGTGATAGACGTGAAAAGGTGTGGAGACATCATGCCAAAATTTGGTGGTAGGTCAGTGATGGGAGGCATTGAGGGATGCACAGATGTCTACTGGCTAGCCACCCTGACTGCTGCTAGGTAACGGGATGCAATCCTTGGACCCGCTGTCACAACCTGTACTGAAGTAGCGGGTCCTGGGTTCCTCCTGGTGCACGACAATCCCCGGCCTCATGCAATGAGTATGCAGGCGCTTCCTGGAAGATGAAGGAATTGATACCATCGACTGGTTCCCACGCTCGCTGGACCCAAAACCCAGTCGAACACATCTGGCGCATTGTTTTAATCCATCCAACACCTCAGACTGTCCAGGGTTTTTAAAGAACTGATGTAGATTAATTTGCAGAAGGAAAAAGGACATAAAGGACAATAAAATCGCAGCAATGCACAGAAAAAAACCCCATTTACAGCTGTACATGATTCAGAACTTTAAACGCCATCCTCACTCCCCTCCTGCAGGTGAGGTAGTCTTGTCCAGAGTGTCCAATCAGGCGATGCCTCAGTGCAGAGACCACAACTCACCTGCAGAGCCGAGACAGGAAACCACACAGAGTACGGTGAGTAGAAAAGGTGGGAGGAGCATTAGCGGGATTTCCTCCCTCACTCTTCATTTTTAACCTCTCTCCTCCAATTCCAGCAGCCTGCAGATGCTACCACAGCTGCTGTGATCAAAGTGGAGGACGATGACTGCGTATCCTGGTCCCAGTCTGAGCCGGACAGTAAGTATAAGAACCTGAAGAGAGCCTTTTTCTTCCTGTTTGACTCAGTGTAGTCTTTTTAGTTTGTAGCTGGCTCATACAGAACAGATCTAAACCCCGATGGTGTCCAGTTTAAGCTGTGTAAGAGGCTACAACTCTTTCTGCTTTCCTTTTATCTCCAGAAGGTTTCTGTCATAACGAAGAGGGACAGGTGGAGGCAGAAGCTGCAATCAAACAGGAAGCAGCAAACGATGGTGGCATCTCGTGGACGAGCGGGGAAGTCAGCTCTACCTCCACCTCTGTCCAGAACACCCAGAGGTCAGAAACCAGCAGTTACGACTGTTTGATATTTGAGCCACAGCTTCAGCATGGCTCCCACACCACCCAAAATCCTCTGGGAGCGGAGGCCGGCTGCTCATCGGCGTCCAATTCAGGTGGCAGCTTCACATTCCCGCTCAGCAAGGTGAGTCTGTCTGCAGCAGAGCGACCTGCAGGTTTCCAGAGCAGCCAGCAGAGGGCGGTGCCTGCAGACGAGCTTCCTGTTAGGAAGGAGACGCCAGGAGAACATCGCTCCTTCATCCGGAGGGGCGGGTGGAGACAGGATGCCATCAGCAGAGCGGCAAGCCACAGAGGCGAGGATGGCGGGGGAAAGTCGTTCGTCTGTAACTGCTGCGGGAAAAAGCTCGCCTGCCTCAAGAACCTCAAAACCCACATGAGGGTCCACACCGGCGAGAAACCGTTCGTCTGTGCGCTCTGCGGTAAACGCTTCTCAGACTCCAGCAACCTCAAACGCCACCAGAGCGTCCACACGGGCGAGAAACGCTACGGCTGCGTCCACTGCGGCAAACGTTTTGCCCAGTCGGGATCGCTGAAGGTCCACATGACCGTCCACACAGACTGCAAACAGTTCAGGTGTTCGTACTGCAACAAGACATTCATATCAGGCAGCCACCTGCGGCGCCACATCACTCTCCATGCAGGAGAGAAACGGTTTGGCGCCGTGCAGTGACAGCTGGGAGAAGCGGCATTGCAGATATCTGCAGTGAGGTAGTCTCACAAACACGTGACCTACTGTAAAAATGTGTATCGTGTATGTTTGAACACAAAACAGATGTTCTTGGATCACCTGCAAACGTTTTCACGTGTTTCATTGGAACATATGGCAGCAGACAGTGTGGCCGTCGGGGATCGGCTCGATTTCAAGCCACTGCTTCCAGTTTTAATCAGACTTCGGAGTCGCTCTTAGTCTGGTCTTCTTCCCAGGTGAGGAGACACCTGGACAGATTAGGTCTTAATATTAATAATAACTTTATATAGCACTCTTCACCAGGTAAGAACTATGTACATAAAACAACACAATCGATCATACAGCACAAATCTAGTTAAAAGCCAGTCTAAATAAATGAGTCTTTAGCTGCTGTTTAAAAGAATAAATACAATCAAGGCAACGTAAAGATGGAGGCAAAGTGCTCCACATCCTGGGGGCCACCGCTCTGAGATCTGACTCCTGTGGTCTTTAAATGTGTTGGTGGGACTACCAACATCCTTTGATTAGATGATCTCAGGCTGCGAGAGGGAGCGTGGTGTTCTAAAAGACCGGAGATGTCGGCAGCAGCGTCACGACGTTAGAAGTCAGCACTACGAGTTTGAACTGGAAGCCAGTATACTGAGAATTAAACTGGTGTAATGTGCTGTCTTTTTCGTGTCTTTGTTAAGAGCCTTGCAGCAACAGGTTGGCTGGGGACATCCTCAGTGTCCCCCCCAGAGGAGCTGGAGGCATCTGGTTCTCTGTCTAAACTTTGACCTTTGACCCAGGTAACAGAAGGAAGGCAAGAAAGGGCTTTGTGTCCATCAGGTATTTGTCTTGGGCGTCAAGGTTGTCATGTTTAATTAAAACTCAGCTTCAGTTAACTGTGTCCATGCTTACTAACCTAAAACCAACATGTAATCGTACTTTCAGTAGTTTCAGTCTTTGTAAATTTCTGAACCCAAATAAAGCCCGAGGAGCTGTTGCACTTTGCCAGTAAAAACAAAGCAAATCCACAAAATCCAAAGCTAACAGCTCTGTTTGGATAAAGAGGATGGATGCTGAAGTGTGGTCACATCTGCAGAGAAAGAACTGCTCAAAAGATCCTGAACTGAACTCTATGGAAAAAGGTAACAGCCAATGAAACTTCCATGAGGGGAAAAAGACTTGAAGTGTAGGGGAAACGTTTTTAGTGGATGGTGGTGTTTGATTTAAACTCAAAACTGTTTTAACAAGTGAATCCAAAGTGGGCGCTGAAGCCTCCTGGCTGGGCTGGGAACTCGTTTAAACTAAATAAATACAGTTTTGAAGCAATTGTATCTTAAAATTTCCATTAAACATTTACATTGAAGAAAACATCCATCCCACTGTCTCATTTGAAGTTGGGTCAAAGTGGTAGCAAGCTCAGGAGGGCACCTGAGACTTTTCTAGACTTCTGTTTCTCCAGCAATGGTTTCCAGCTCTTCCTGAGACGCTCCCAGGATCAATATCAAGTGCATTTCTGATTTCCGCTGGATCCTCTGGTGCCGAGGAGGCATGCCGATTGTGTCCTGAACCTCCTCAGATGTAGGAACAGTAGATCTAGGTGGAGCTCCTCACCTCCATCTCTAAACTGCCGCCCATGTGGGCCGATGTGACGACCAGAGGTCGCCGACTGTTGAGTGAAGTTTAGATACAACAAGCCAAGTAAACAATAGTCTTTCCCTGAACTTGTATGTGAGCGATTAAAGAGACTACAGATCCTGAGAGCAGCTCCAACACCTGAGCTTTCTGTGTGGCTTCCCCAACAATCCAAAGACGTTCAGTTATTGGGGAATCTAAAGAGCCCATAGCTGTGAATGTCAATGGTTCTCTGTGTCTCTGTGTTAGCTACGTGTCAGGTTGGTGAGCTTTCTGTGGCAGCTGGGATAGGCTCCACCCTCTGATAAGAATAAGTGGAAGAGAACCTCTACTTCCTGTTTCAAATTTCACTGGTCATGGTGTCACCGGGCAGGGACCGAAAAGAATCCTTCACAAGTCTTGTGGTTTTTCCAGTAGCAGGTGTTTTATACAACGTTCATGTGTGAAACTAGCCTGTGGTTGTGTGAAGGTAACAAATGTTTATGACTGTACATCGAGTTTCATTGTGACTGACGTGTAACTGAAGAAACGTGAACGAACTTCCTTTTTCTTTTTTATCATTTTTAATAAAAGCAGCTGCTAAAATCAGAGCGCTTTGTTTTTGTTTTAAACTATTCTGATCACTTGAAATTTGATCCTTTAGGCGTCTCAGTTTTAACATGACAAAAGTGGAGAGACTGAGTCAGGTTTATTTTCTTTTTCCTTCCTCTACTTCCAGGTGATAAGATGTAGGTCTGAAGAGTGAAGCCGTAGAAGGAGCGCTTCAGTCTGGTGTTCCTTCTAATGGCCGACTGGGTGCGATTCGTGTGGCTGGTTGCTTCCACGTTCTGTACCCTCAAACGCTTTCCTGACCAGGTTTCGGTTTTCTTAACTAGTTTAAACTTGTACTGAATTCAGCACAATATTATTATTTTTTTAAATACATTTTGGTCCCATTGAGAGCCAAAAAAGATAAAGCACAAAGTTTTGACTATATTAACACTACCTTCACCTTAAGGTAGCAGCTTATTTGATTAGGATTTCAGGCTCGCTGCAGGGTGAAGGTCCAGCCAGTGATACTGAAGAAATTTGAGTTCATTCACCATCGATGTAATCATTAACAAAAACTAAAAAGTCTGAATCGCTTTCAGAAGCTGCCAATGGGACCATCACATGATCCCCAAGTTTTGCATGTTTTGCTGAGAAGCTGCAGCTCATGGCCACTTCCTGTTGGAGCCGTTAAAAAGAAAAGAAAAGGTTAGACTGATTTAAGTTAACTTGAGAACCCACGAAAGTTCTCAAATTGATTTAAACTCACACATCAGCCAAATCTAAACGGACAGCATGGATGGACACGAGTAGATTTGATGAGATCTGTAAAGTTGGAATTTCTGAAATCTGTAGAAGATGATGGATTCCTGCTTGTGGGTTTTATTTCCTGGGCGGTTTCTCTGACAGTTCTCAGGTATTCGGGCTTTGCTTGCAGCTTCAGGTTCAGTCTAAACACATTAAAGCACACAACAGTCAAGACTCAACACTTGCAACTCTTTATGTGCAAAAGGAATCACCCGAGTGACTAGTTTCAGCTGTTGAACAGGTGTTAACTGACTACTCACACCTGACAGCTGACATTTTATGAAACCGTGAAATCCATGACCGTCAATTTAAATCCATTTAAAACAAAATACAGATACACAGTTTGTCTTTGTAATATAGTTTAATGGATCATAAACATTCACCTTAGCTGAGACTAAATATAGCTGACAAAATCCCAAATACTGTAAAAGTTCATTCTCAAAGCACAGCGCCATCAACAGGCCAAAGGCGGATTTGCAGACTGAAACACAGCGATCCACACTGTAAGAAATAAGGATTACTTCATCCTTTAAACAGTCATTTCAGAGGCTGATTTCACACTGATTCACATGTATACATTCAGAATTTGTTTCTTTGCTTGAAGTTCAAATTAAATTTGAATTTGTGTCTTGTTTAAGGTGAAATTTTACAGTTTAACTTCCAGAGACTCAAAGTACGATAAAATACAATAAAAAAAAAAAAAGATACAATAAGTGCTGTTACAAGCAAGAATTCCACATGTGAAAATAAGTGCAGTCTATAGAAATTACAAAACTATTTACATTAACAGTAACTCCATATTTAGTAGTTGCTCCACACAGAATGTAAAATTTGTCTTTAAATCTATTAAAATTATTTTCCTCCTCAGGATTTTTCTGTCTTTTACTCTAAATTTTATATTTAGAAGAACACCGTTAAAAACATGATCCACTTTGAACTTTGTTTATTTAAAGCTGCACTGACTGATATTTGGCCAACAGGGGGCAGACCCAGAGAAACCATCTCTGGAGTTGCATTTTTAGCTCTGTTTTGGTCTCCTCCACCACCTGGAAAATATAGATTTTTGACCATAAAGCCAAAACTAGGATTTAGAAGAAGCTAAAAAAAAAACTTCACACAGCTGGAAGTTACAACATTAAAAGCAAAACCTTTAACATTACAAAGATTTCATTGATCATTTGATTCATGATCTGTTCTTATACAAAAAGTATTAAGCACAGCTTTAAATTCAAAGTTGAGCAGAGCAGTATTAAAAACATCAGTACAACACATTGATTGCTGTTCATTGATTACATGTGGTAATACATCACCTGTAATGTTATCTTTAAACAAATTTGGCACTTGGATTAATTAACAATAATTCCTGATTTATGAAGACAGGGAGAGAGTTAACCACAAAGATTCAGTCACACCAGAGCTGAACACCTTGAAGCTTGGCTCCCTTAGTTGTGCTGGTAGTACAACTAAGGGATGAACGTTAAGTGCGTGATTAGCTAAAATGGCTAATTAGCTAAAGTTAATAAGCTATGGTAGAATAGCTTATTAACTTTATAAACATTACAACTGTCTTTTCTCGAAACTAGCTAGTTTGTCTGTATCTAGTTATAGTTTTATTTACCTTTATCAATTATATAATGTAAATTGTAAAAGAGTGCTGTTAGCTTTAGCATTTCCTGGCTGATAGGAATACTAGCTGTTAGCTAAACGTCTTTTAGGATTCACCGCAGTTATGATGTTAACGTCCCACCAAGTCGAAAATAACTGTTGTAAACGTTATTTCAGGCATCTAAAAAACCTTGAGATTTTGTTGAAAAGTGAAACATGAAAAGATACTAACTAAAAATTTGATGCCAACTTTGCTTTTACTCTTTATCAAGATTTTAGACAAAAGTAAAACAACGTGGGCATTTTGGGGACGGTTTTTGTTGGGGTTTCTGTGCCCTCATCTGGTGTGACCGTTTTAACCCTTCATGCTACAGATGCGATGCCGCGTTCACGTCACATGAGAGGAACGTTGTCAGTGGAAAAGATTCCAGTCTTTATGGCTTGCTAGCATTAGTGAAAAATTCACAGCCGGAGTCTTATTATAGCATTCTAGGTGTGGATCTACACCTTAAATTGGTGTTTAACTACTTTAACCAACAGACTAGATAATAGTCTGATCTCGATAGTTTTCAGGATTAGGTCTCAGTTTTCCAGTTATAACTAAAACCCAGATGTTCACGTACACGTTAGAATCACACTTCTGTTAATTAATGCAGCTCCCATGTGACCTAACCCAGCATGATGAGGTTTTTTGTTTTCTTTTTTTATCCTAAAGGCTTCAAATGATCTGAACATGAAGAGTTAAACATTTCTCTGCTCCGCTAGTCAGTTTCCACAAACTTTATCACTCAAACATTTCAGCTTCACACCAGAGGAGCTGATCTGTGCTGCCGGAGGACCCAAAGCAGAGATCATCTCCTCCTTCTTCACTCTTGGCGTAGTTTGAGGCCCAAACATGATTCAATTTTTAAAAACTTTATAAGACAAAACATCTCGTAAAGCGCTACAGTACTTGGTTTTCTTACAAAGCTTCTACAGCGAGTATTTTGACTTTAAGAGATCTCTCCCAAATCCACAAACGTTCTCCCAGCTTATTGTTGAGTTTCTTCCATTTTCTGGAATTATTGCTCCTTATAAAGGCAAATTTGCTTTTAAAAATAAGAGCTTTATATGTGTTTGTGTAACCAGGTCATAAATAACATATTTGAACCTTCGACCTGTACGGATTACGTTTGTACCACATTAAAGTCTCCCAAGAATCAGACAAAAACAAACGGAGTGAAAGAAACCACTCAAAGGCAGAATGTTTGAACTTGATCTGCTTTTCTCACCTTTTTGTCTCTGTTCAACATATCTGTCAGTGCGTTTCAACAGCATCTCAGGGTTCCCTTTATTATTATCAGCATGTGAGCACTGCTGGCTGATTGAAGGCACCTAACAGCTGAAGAGTTTTACCACAAAATGCTGCAGAGAATAACTATCTGAAAATAGCTCTTTAACATCAAATATACACAATTTTCAAGCGTTTACTGCAAATTAAATGTGAGAATTTTCCTTCTGTAACAACCTCACATGGTTTCTAGTGGCCAAGAGATGAGCAAATGCATAATGGACACTACTGTTACCTATTTTCTTTAAAACTGGGAAATAACCCAGATAAAATATATTTGGCCCAGATTCAGGCTAGATCCATCTTAAGTTCTGGACCGGATCCGTGCAACGGACCTAAGCTGGTGTCTTTTAGCACAATGGCCGAATACCGGTACGGATGCATTTTAATGATGTAAGCCAGATCCTGGAAATGAGCCTCTATGCTATGAGGTGGTTCTTGTCCAAGGAAGGTTTGAAAGGCAGCAGATTCAAAGTGCTTCAGGAGGATTCAGGAGTTCTTGTGGAGGTCTGAGCAGGCATCCAAGCACCTTATTGGTATATAAAAAGCCCAGAAGCCTCAATATTGTTCTCGACATTCTTCATCCAGCTAAAGAAGTTCTAAACCCGGGGTGGGGATCTCCAGGCATCACGGGCCGGAGTCCTGCAGGATTTAGATGCGTCCTTGATCCAACACAGCTGATCGAATTGGCTAAATGACCTCCTCAACATGTCTTGAAGTTCTCCAGAAGCCTGCTAATGAACTAATCATTTGATTCAGGATTGTTGACCCACGGTGAGATGAAAAACCTGCAGGACACCGGCCCTTGAGGCCTGGAGTTGGACATCCCTGCTCAAAACAGTCCTGAGAAGATTCTTAAAGTAGATGATTGTTAGCTGTTTGAGAGTCCGGTGGAGAATTGAGAGGACCTTCTGGAGGTCTGTTTGCTTTAACGGCCTCTGCTGGTTTCATAAACTCCCATTTATCTGACTGTGATCAATCAGGATGATCTACTGAACACTACGGCCCCGCCCACTGACCTGTCATCAATCGATGTCAGCAAATTAAACCTGGCGATGATTTTATAGATGTAAGAAAGTATTTTGTACCAGTAAAATTACCAGAAATTCAGGAATCCAGCTTTCACAATAAAATCTGAGCTGAACTTTAATGTGAAAATACTCACTGTGTTTGTGGGTATTTTATTTTGTAGTAAAACTCTTCGTTCTGTTTATTCTGGAGGGGAAAATGGCACTTTTATAGCCTCCAGGTGATTTTTGTGCATTTGGTTTTTATAAAAAGTCACAGCTCTTATTTTTATTTATTTTTTGCCCTTTAACCCTGAAAATGTTTTGCAGACATTAAACGTCTGACGTTTGGTCACTTTGGAACGCTCAAAAAAGCCAAGATCAACTACAAACCAAAGAAAGAAGACACTCCTAAAATACATCGGCTACATTTTGAGTTGATATGAATGTTTTTAGCTTTCTAAGCTGCTAAACTACTAACATGTGCCACTGAGCTCCAACACTTTAATAACAACTTTTTTCAGCTAGAAGACATTTCATGGCTTAAATCTGACTAAAAGCACGAAGCAGCCTCCTGCTCTGCGTGTACATTTCAACGTAAAGATGACACATTTTTAAAAATGTTGTGAATACAAAAACCTCTTTTAAGGAGTGATTTTTGTTTTAAAAGGAGAAATGTTTGCTCTAAAATGTTTTCTGGAGCTCAGATTATTTTGTGCACCTCACATGCAAACATAAAGTGAAATAAAAGTCAGAATCTAACGTTTCTGCTGAGTCCCGTCCGACCTTTTCGCCTTCTCCTCCTTCAGGTTCTCCAGACGCGTTTCCTCACTCGTTTCTCGACGTGATGTCCTGAAACCGAATCAGTGGCAGCTGTTAAAACTCGTTTGTCTCCTCTGCAGCTCAAATGTGAGAAACCAAGTTTCTGATTTCAGACTCACCTCCGTCTTCGCCCTCCTCCACTCGCCCAGCGGGCCCGACTTTGTCAGGACTGAAAGAAACGAGAGCAGTGACGTGTTAAAAACACAAAAACAAAATCAGATTCGTGCTCTGCTGGCAGATTAAAAGCAGTCAGGAGCTGCAAAGAAAAACGGCACCAAATTTACTTTTATTAGTTCATATTATAATCAACAGGATTCATTGGGTTTATTACAGGACAAGGGTGTTTTAAAAACCCCAAAAGTAATAAATGTAACCCAAACAACACTGTAATGATTTACCATAAGCTGGTTTTTATAACTGCTAGTATTAATATCGCTAACAAACTGCATTCATCTCTCTGGATTTTAAACAAGTTGCAGTCGTTTCGGCTTTTTTTGGAAGACAAACTGATCATTTTATGTAATAAAAAAATAATACAGTTGTAGAGAAATGTAGTCGTCTGTCCTTTGCTTCAGTCTGTGGTTTTGATTTTAAACACTTAAAGCTGGTATTTGGGAAACGAACGAAGGTCTGAAGCTGTAATTACCAGCTTGTCATAAACAAGTTAAATGTGAATATTTGAAGACTTTGAGAGTCTTTATAACCAGTTTAAGTTAAAAGGCCAAACTGGTATCACTCGTGCTCCAACAGCAGTGGTTGAAACAAATAGTGAGCTGCAGGTGACTGCAGTTTTAAAGCAGCATTTAAAAAACAGCTTTCTCATTAATTACAAAAAACAGCCCAAGCAGGGAGCTGGAAGTACAGTGGAAACATCCAAGTAAAGTAATGACTCTCCCTGCCAGCAGGGGGAGACAAACGTCTTATTTCTGTTTAAAGGCAGCCTGTAGTGATGAAGAGCGGCTCCATTCACACCAGTGTGACTGTAAAACAGGGATTTGCACTGAGGGCCAAATAAACTTCTGCAAACTGAATAATTCACGGGTCACAGCTGGACCTCTGACTGAGTTTCTGTTACCTGAAGACAAAAGATCTTTAATCACTGAACAGAAATGTCTTTGATACTCACGCATACATGTTGTGATCATCATGAAGACGGTCGACGTGACAGTCGCGCTCCACCACAGACACCTGCAAAACAACGGTCTTTGAACACATCGGCACTTCCACACAGAAAGATCACGCCGTTTCTGTAGACGGGACAAAACATGGAGGCAGCTTCAGGTCTGAAACATGAAGCCCGTGTTGAGGCGTCTTAGAGCGTATTCTTTTTAAAGGCCACCAGGGGGCGACACTTACTTAGAAAACTGCGGGAAAGCATCTCTGTGACGATGTTATAGGCTCAGTCACTAGTTTAAAAAGATGCATCTTATTTTGACACTTTTATTTTCAGAGTGAGTAAGGACGTAAAATGGGATGTTCTCATTGGTTGATGAGTGTGCAGTTTCTCAGTGAGACCCGCCCCTCACTCAGAAATAAGAGAAACAAACACGTTTTTAACTTTCATACACTTTTTAGAGCCCTTAATAAATAAATTGTGTTTCTGCCTCTATGATGCATTTAGCTGCTGCAGCTTTCTAAACTAAACTGAGCGGACAGATGAGGCATTTTCAGATCCTCGATCGGCTTCAGGAAGATTTTCTGGGAGACTTAAAGAGATTTTCTTGGTTCATGCTGATCAAACAATCAAAGTGCTCTGAAAAAACTAAATTAGGAACTGAGGTCTCACCCCGAGTACAGAGCTGTGAAGATGAAGACGGTGAAGACGAGAAGGAGGAGGGCCTTCAGCGTGAACCCTGAAACAGAAAGGAGAATAACTCGGGTGAGGCGAACAGAGGTCGAGCTTTGTGGTGGAGATCGTGGGTGTCAGTTTTGTGTCTTTGGTGGTTACTGCAGATAAAAATCATCAAATGTTTTTCATTCAGCATTAAAGTCGAGTGAGATGAATGAAAACGTAGAGATTCAGACTGGATCTGAGCAGGCTGCTACGAGTCTCTGCAGGCCTCTGACGTCAGAGACCCTGCGGCTCACCTGTGGGCTCAGGTGACGCCTGACAGCAGCAGGTGTTGGTGTAGAAAGGTGAAGGAGGCGGGACTTCGGAGAGGCTGCCCAGCGACTGGGTGAAACGCTCCTTTGACTGACAGATCTCAGAGCAAATCTCCTCGTGGATCAGGAGATTTGGAGGCGGGGCTTCTTTGTCGGGAGGAGTCATGACCTCAGTGGAGTCTGAAAGAAAAAAAAAATCATTGTTCATTGTTGTCCATGTTAATTTGAGCGTACTCGCCCTTTAAGCAGTCGGTTACCCACCGTACGTGAAGGCGCGGCTCTCCTCCAGCTCAGTGCTGTTGAGCGGCGACCAGGACTCGTCCAGACAGGCCGGACCATCAGGGCTGCTCCTGGACCAGTCCAGGTCATGGTCCTGGTCAACTTCCTGCTTCTGGTTCCAGCTGTTCACCGTCCCAAAAACACCTCTGAAGACTTTCTCATCGAGCCACGACTGGCAGCTCTCCGTGACATCGCTCAGCAGGCGAACCAGCGAGCTGCGAGGTCGCCGCCTGCGCCGGAAAACCCTGAAGGAAAAATGAGTGTTCAGACACGTGTGTGGGTTTGAGGTCCTTTGGCATGTTCCGAGTTATTTTGAACTTTGTTTTTTGTCATTTTGAGGAATTTGTGTCTCTTTGCACAGAAAAGATGAACAAAATGAGATAAAACAACATCAAAGTGAAACAAAGAAATCCAGAAAGAGCTAAAGAACGAGAGCCCCAACAAAAAACCTCAAACCCAACAAAGTGGGTTAAAGTGCAGAAAGTGACCAAAAGCAACTCGAGTGTGAAAACACTTCCTCAGAGAATGACCACAGCCTGACAAAAATAACCACAATGTGATTTGAAACAACAGGAAGTGACCAAATCTGAGCGCAGCGGCCTGCTCTGTCTGACTGCACACCAAGAAATAAACGTCAGGAACAACATTTAATCGAATTTTAAAGTAAAGTACGACTTTTAGTTGTTATTAAAAGATGAACTCTGCAAACACATCAAGGCTTCACCTGTGAACACAGAGTTCATGTAACAGAACAAAGACGCTTTTCTCATGTTGGTGGCAAAGTGTTCAATAACATGGGGTCTCCTAGCAACAGTGATCAATGACATCACACACCCTGGTCCCCGAGAGCAGCTGATGTCAGGTCTGAAGTATTTACAGCTTTCAAACCTACCCGACATGTGCCGAACGGCTCACTCTGATTGGCTGTTGGAGGTGACCTCACCGCTTTAAAGAGGTGTGTGTGTGTTTAACAGCTGTCATACATTTGTACGACCACGAGACGTTATGTTCCTGTTGCTGATGTAAAATAATCCCGAGTGTGGACCGAAGGGAGGAAAATGTTATGGAACGAAGGTTTTTCCAAACTTTGTTAAGCGTTTGGTGAATGTCACAAAGCGTTTGGCGTTCGGTTCTCTCAGCTCTGTAATTGCAGCTGATGTCATCGATCATTTTCTCCAAAAAAAACATGTAAAAACACTTTTTCTCAGTCTTTGGTAAAAAAAAAAAAAAAGCAATATTAAACTTCTTGTGATGCTGTAAAATGCAGTGAACGCAGGCTGTTGGCTGCATTTCTTGGTATAAACTCTCCTTTGGTTAATAAAATCAAACTAACTCTGAGGCAGAGTTTGAGGTAAACACAGTCCAGACTTTTACAATCCCAAAAAACTGTTGTGACCGTTCATCCATGTGTTTCAATGAAGTTTAACATCCAGGTGTTCACGAAAAAGAAGATTTACGAGTTCAGCCAAGTTCGAGATAGCAGGAAGTTAGCTTGCTAGTTTGCATGTAAAGGCACAGCTCTGATTTCACTTTGGAGGTAAATAAAAACAGAAAACCAAACAACAGTGATGTTTGTAGCGTCCGTAAAGTTAGACGAATTGATCCACCATTTTGGACGTGTGCCAGTTGTGGTAGCAGAGTCGGAGCAATGAATAAAACCTGGTCACACAGGCAGAGAGAGACTGGTCTGCAACCGTTTGGCAACCACGATTCATAAAGAAAAAATCCCCAACCGGTTGTGAGTGGTTGCTGGAGGTTAATGACAGTGGCTGGGAAAATGACTGTTAAAGCCCCAGTAACACAGACTGGTCAGTGACCACCTGGCAACCAACTGTTGGTAGGGAAAACGTGTATTCCCCTACTGGCTTCGGTTGCTAGCATCTTGCTGCGGTTGTAGTTTGAATGAAAGTGACCGACTGTAGTGTTGCATTGTCTGTAAATACTCTCCAACTACGAGCTGAGCGTTGGCAAAACTTCAAGAAGTGTGACACAAACAGGAAATTGAGATAGTTCGCTTTCAAAAATAAAAGTCACAACTTTTACTTGTGCATAAACGTGGAACGAGCGAGCTCACTGAAACAACGTTTTTTCTGCTTCCAGATCTCAGGTAAAAACAGTCTAAATAAATGGGAGCCTCCTGGTCTACCTGCCGCTCTCACCTGTGCAGGTTCTCCTTGTAGGAGACGCTGGTTTTGCAGGGCGTCAGTGACACGTTGCCCTCGTCGTCCCAGGAGAAGCTGTCCTCGGTCACGTCATAGTATCCGTTGGTGAGGAGGCGTGGCGAGCGGCGGCAGCAGCAGGGCTCGCTGCCGTGCGCTGAGGTGTAGCAGATGTAGGAGGAGTCGGGAGAGAGTAGAGACACGTCGAGGCTGCAGGAGAGAGACCAGCAAAGGCTTTTCAAACTCCTCCTGCTGAGACTTCACACGTTCATCAGAAACAGGAAATAAACGATGCTTTTACCTCTCACAGTGACTGTTCCTCAACCTTCGCTTGACTGGAGAACCTGCACAACACTACTACTCACATGACACACACACACGCACACACACACACACACACACACACACACCACACACGCACACACACACCACACACACACGCACACACACACGCACCACACACACACACACACACACACACACACGCACACACACACCACGCACACACACACCACACACACACACACACACACACACACACGCACACACACACACACACACACACACACACACACACACACACACACACACACACACACACACACACACACACGCACACACACACACAGCACACACAGACACACACGCACACACACACACGCTCTCACTCACACACACACACACACACACAGGTTTCTAAATACAGACGACTTTTATCAGCATGAAGAGGCACAGAGCATTCTTGGGTAAATCTGCTCAGAGGACTTGATGAAGATAAAAGCTGGGCAGGAATGTGACAGACGGGCAGCAAAGTGCCACACAGAGCTCGTCTGAGGAGCTAACATCAGATCTGTGGAGCCGCTAAAAGCTTTAGTTTGGTTTCCGATCATTTTTCACATCCATAACAGTTTGAACAGTTCGAATAGGCAAAAAGAAAATTTGCTACAATGTCGTAATAAAGTCCCAGAATAAAAGTAAAGTGTTGGTGAACGTGGTCGGTGATGTCGGTGACGTACTTGTGACGGCGCCAGAGAAGAACAGAGCCATGTTTGTCTGCAGAGCGGCGTCCGAGGATCTGTGAAGCGCATGAGAAACCAAACAGCTGTCGGTGAGAAACAGGCAGATGTTGTTCTAACAAATCTTTTCAATGAAAGGCCAAAACCAGCAGAGAGAGCGCCTCTCCAACCCTCCTGACCTCAGACACGACCGGTCTCACACTGAACGCCGTCAGCTGACAGCTGCTCTTTCAGCGAGACACTCTTATTATTTTTATTGCGATTTAGTGAATTTATTCTGGTTTTTACTCTAAGGAGACACTTTGTGTTATTTAAGCTTTTTACATCACGTTTTATTGGATCTTATTAAAAACAATACTTATTTTAACATTTATCAGATTTTTTACTTTCTTTTTAAACTTCATATTATTACATTAACTTTTCCCTTTTTTGTATTTATGCAAAACATATATATACTTACTTATTTTATGATATATGTTACAATATTATTCACTATTTACTTTTTTTTACTTTTATTGATTTAAAAAATTATAGGGATTTTATTTGTATTAAAATTTGAACATAATGAGCTCATTCACTTTATTAGATTTAACAGGAAACTGTTGTGATTCAGGGCTTTATAAATAAAACTGAATTGAATTATTGCTCCTTTCTTCGTGTAATCTTTATTGAACTTCTATTTTACTGTATTTGTCTGAGCTACTCTGGCTTGTGTCTATTGTTTTTACAGGAATTTCCAAACTTTTGGGATAAAAAAAGCACATTTGATCTTTCCTCTGTCTCTGTTTAAAGTTCCTGTTGTTGGGGTCTATTTTCAGCGGTGGATTAATCTGCACTCGGTGGTGTAGTGAGTATTTCTAGCAGCAGGATTTTGTGCGTGTGTGAGAGTCTGAGTAAACCACAGAGTGTGTGTTCATAAAGGAAGTTGTTGTTGTGTATCTGAGCTGGAGCTCACAGACATTTCTCAGACTTTTACACCCAGCTTTTATTAGTCGACTCAATTTTTGCTGGTTTGACTCCCAACGAGAAGAAAAATCTAGAAAATCCAAAAGAAATCTTGTTTTTCTTTCTGTGACTTCAGCTCTTTAAAAATCCTCCTTCCTGTCTGATCTGCTCCTCAGCAAAGCTTCACTCAGTTCAGCTGAATCTCTGCAGTCTGAGCACTCGAGGGATTCACTGGAGCTAATCTGAGCTAATCTAATCCAGACTGATCAGGATATTTATAACAGGCTCTGTTTTTGGGTCTTACCTTTAAAGTTGCTCTTTGTTCTCTGCTGCGCTTCTCTCACATCCTGCAGAGACGCAGCCTGAGAGCAGACTGCAGAAAGAAAAACAGACGCTGTGACTCTGAGCTCACGCTTCCTGTTAACCCTTCATCAGCTGACCGACACACACGCACACGTGCACACACACAAACAGGAAACGACTTTGTATAAACTATCGTCTCTGTACGAGAGACACAGACGTTAGACAAAGAGCCGGTGAGTGTGATGGTTTGTTAACATTTGGATCCCACATCGTGTTTCATGGATAACGAGCCTTCGTGGCAGGATGAGAAAAGAACACAACAAGAGGCCGAGGACGAAGGCCCGGGGGATCTGATGAAGAGGAGTCATCAGCAGGCTGAGTGATTTGAACACACAGACTGTTAGAGGGCAGTGAACAGAGGCGCCTGTGTCTCTGCTCCTCCTCAAGATTCAAAAGAAAACCAGTCTGGCGTCCGGTTAACGTCCACTCAGCAGCGAGACTCAATGATGAAGGTTCAGCCCTCCAAAAACAAAACAAGAGAAGGAAGCGGCGTGAGCTCGGAGGGACGAAGAAACACTCCTCATCTGCTACACGTCAGCGCAAACATCCGAAAGATTTCTGAAGTTTTTAATCTTTTTTCTGTAAACCTGCAGATTATAATCTGAAGAGTTTATCACGGGGGTGTCAAACTCTTCTCAGTCCATGATGCTAGCAACCACATACAGCACAGCTGAGCACCTGGAAGCCAATAAAAACAGGCCCCTCTGAACTGTTTAAACGGATTTAAAATGCTTCCGTCCATCCCTGAAACTGAGGAGGAAAAATATGTTTTTTAAAAAATTTACTCTCAGTTTTTTTCTGCGTTCGGTCAGTGTGATGTCACAAAGAGATTTTTCAGCCGTGGCGCCTTCGTGGTGCTTTAAGCGGTGCACGTTGAGTAGAACAATAACCTGATGCTGGTTCAGCCTCTGAAGGATTTTAAACGTTCCTCATCCTGCGCAGCTCTTGCACAGCTGCAAAGCTGCGAGTGGGCCGGGCTGCAGGCTCTGGTGGGCCTGCCGTGGGCCTCGGACTCTATGTTTATCCTCTGGACAGCAGCGTTTACATTTTATTATTTCTGCTGTTTACGACTTCCGCCTGAGAGGAACAAAAACAGTCAAATAAAAGATTTTTCCTGTTCTGGGAAAAAGTAAAAAGGACTTTTTTCCCCATGAGGCTTCAGTACAAACCGAGATAAAGACAGACTGTTTATGTCAAACTACACGATCCGATCTGGAAATATCTGGGAATAATGATTTGTGTTACGATCGATCCCTCTGGGTTTGTGTCAGGAAGGACAAAACGCTGCCAGATCAAACATGCTGCTGTGGCGAGCCGCGTGAGTAAAGGAGCATCTTTGATTTTCACGTCGTCCTTCCTGCTCTGCTGAGTTTAGACGGAGAAAACAAACATGGATGCAAGTTTGTTTAAACAGAACAAGTCGAAAAGAAATAATTATGTTTATTTCAGTTTATGTTGACTGAAACCAGCAGAGGAGGAGAGGTTTGGACTACAGTCTGAACTCATGCACCTCTGAACTCTTTCTGGGATTCCTGTGTGATCAGAAAACTGCCTGCTGGCAACTTTTCACTGAAAACGCAGATGTTTATCGAACTGCTTTCATCGTTTTTTAAGAACCAGAGAGATTTTTAATGAAAGAACATTTGATGGTCGCAGCTTTTCAGATGTGACTGTTTGTTTCTTTTCTTCTTTTTCACTTTGGAGTTTCAACTGTTTTCAACCAGGACAGTTATGAGTACATTCACTAAAAAAGATGATTTGAATCTCTACATCTGACTTCTGTGAACGTTTTTCCTTCTTTTGTTTGATTTGACGTCGTATTTTGTGTGTCTGATATTTTCCTGTCGCTGCAGCAGCAGGTTGGTCTCTCCTGTAAAAGTGCTTCTGATGCATCATTTAAAATAATAATATATAATATTTACTTCATGGTGATCTAATAAAAGTAAATATTAACATTAGAGGCAGGAATAGCTCAGTAAGTAGAGTGGTGTCCCCATGATCGGAGGGCGGGGTTTCGATTCCCCTGAGGTACCCCTGAGCAAGTGCCCACTGCTTCACTAAGTGAGTGGGTTAAATGCAGAGAGGAATTACCCCACGGGGATCAATAAAGTAAACAAAAAAAAAGGCTTCGGCTGTTATGTGGATGTTCGTATAGCTTCCTGTTTCTGTATTGAGACTAAAGAGAATCTAAATTATTTAATAATAACTGAATCCCCCCTCTGTGCCCCCTTTATGGATTCTTCCCATCCCGTGTTTCCCAGCATGCCTTGCAGCAGCAGGCTGGTCTGTGCTGGAGCTGCTGATGTTGGAGGAAAACGCGTCAAAAACGGAGGAAACCATTTCCACCTTCAGACACTCAGACTTCTCCAATTTGCTGTTTCAGCTCTAAAATCACTTTTCATGTAAATCTGAGGATTTTTGTTTAGTTTCGTTAATAACGAGGAACAATAATGAGCTCGAGCTTCGTTACTGCTCGTCCTCATTGTTGAGTATTTCTGTGTCATATTCCTGTAACACACTAACTTTGAGCTGTTCGGTTATTATTTACGATTTTCACGCTTTGCTGGTTTGAAATGATCCGAATTCTTCAGAATATCCTGTAAACACTTTGATCTCCGCGTTTTTCCCACGTGATGCACCTCTGATCGTTCCTGAAATATTCCCACTATAAAACATCTGTGGTGTAATTTTACTCTAATACACATAATACTGAAACAACCCGGAATTACAGTTTTTATTATCGTGTAAATAAACAGAAATAATAAAAGAAGCTTTATAAACATAAACAAGTTTATTTTTATTTATTTTTCTTTTAGGATGAAGTTAAAGTTTGCATAAATATCCAGCCCGTTAAAAAAGCGGCTGTTTGAGTTTGTTTGTGTGTTTTAAGTTGGATCAGCAGCAGAAAAACAGACAAAGAGAAACTAACGGGACTGCAGCTCAACTCACCGATCACTTTTCCTCCTTTTTTTGTCCGAAAGTGCGGAAAAATCTTCTTCCGGACGCTGAACCTTTTTCGTTTTTCCTTTTCGTATTTTTTCTTCTAGACTTTCGCTTTGAAATCTTCACATTTCGTCTCCAGGAGGATAAAAACAAGTCTCCAGCTCGCAGCTGTCACTCTGCCTCGCCCACATGCAGGAAGCAGCCGCTGCTGTCAAATTAAAACACGTATGGTTTTCAAAGTAAAAGCACCAAGCGAGACAAAAATATTTAAACTACGCAAAACTGAATAAAACATATATTCGTGCAGGTTTTTTTTCTTTATGTCCACGCAGATCTCTGTGTAGAAGCCAGCTGCTTTAGCGTCTAACCTTTCAGACAACTTTCTTCTGATTGGCTGCCCCTCACAAAAACAGTCGGTGGGGTCTGTGTGCCTGACATGACCATACGAGGATTCTTCCCTCTCCCTGAAATTACGCAGGTCTACAAGTTAAAAAAAGGTTTGTGTGTTTGAGTTTGCAGTCTGAGCTTTGGGCTCATTATTTGAAACATCGGTCATGTTTGATAAAACATCCACAAACAGGAGATCCGGGACAGTGTGCAGTTGGTTTCTAATCTTCAGCCTCATTTAGAGACAAACATGTGAAGAGATAATCACAGAGTTTAGTTCAATATAAATAAAAGGTTTCCTAAACTTACATTTATTATTCAGTAAATGTTCCAGCTTTCATCAGGAAACATTTAAAGTATTCTAACGTGAAGGCGTTTTATGTTGAAGGTCCAAAACACAACTTCCTGTTTATCCTTAATCAGCCGCTGCTGATGAAATAAAATTCCCTGGAGTCAAAATGGTTGATTTTCTGTTTTTTAAGGTTTCATTTTGTGTTTACAACATTTAGTAGAAAAATAAAAACTATGCTAACCAAAGATTCAATTATGCTTCGATTATTATACTTTTAAAAGTTCAATAACAAGTCTTTATCTGCAACTCTGGCGCCATCTGGTGGTCAATCTGATTAATGGATTTGAATCATTGAACTTAACAGAGAAATTCTTTAAGTTTATAAAAATCCCTCAAAGACGTAAAAACATCCATTACAGGAAATGGAAAAATATGTTGGTTATAAATAGATGTGACGACATTTTTCGGTTTCCTGAGCCTCTCAGGTCCTTTTAGAGGAGTCGGACCTCGCCGGGTTTTTCGGGTCTAGGCTGCTGCGCTAGGCGAACAGCCCAGCGGCGGGCTCGGGGATGTTGGTGGCGTGCATGTCTCGCGTCATGTTGGACTTCTCCTTGAGTTTGGCCTGAAGCAGCGTGTGCTCCACCACGCCGATCCGAACGTCCATCTGAATGATCTCCTGCTTCAGCTTCGTCAGGCTCTGCTTGATTTTCACCACCGGAGCTGCAAAAGCAGAAGAAGAAGCGGAGAGGTCAGCACTGCGGCAGGGCCGGAGTCAAAACCGAGCACTGTGACCAGATTCACCTCACCTCCGTCAGACATGCTGCTGCCTTTCTCCTCCATCTCCTGCTTCACCTTCTCCAGCTCCTCGCTGATCTGAAACAAACAGAAGAATTTCAAATTAAAACACAAGAACAATTCTCACATATAAAGGTTCAAATAATCTCTAATAATAAGTAATAGTTATTATTATTAAATAAACTGAGGACAGTGAACTCTGATGTTTTATTATTATCAGCTTGCTTTTTTCACTCGCTGCTGTTAAAATGATTTTATTGATGAATTAAACGTGGTGCGTTCACTGACCTCGGCCAGCACTCTGGTTCTCTCCGTCACTCCTCCGCTGGCCTGCTGGTAGCGCTCTCTGGCCTGAAGGATGACAGGAGTTACTGAACTGACTGTTTCCACACATTCTGGCATTGAGACAGTTTCAAACTGGAATTAACGTGAACTCAAACGTGTCGCGATGACGTGAACGAATCAGGAACGTTCAGCTCCGGGTTTACCTTGCTGAGTTTGGCCTGGGCGCTGCGGTACTCCTGGATCAGATGCTCCAGCTGGTTGTTGATGTACTTCTCTCTGCTGCTCACCTTCTCCAGCGTCTTCCCGATGTCCTCCTGCAGCTTGTCCAGGTGACTCTGCAGAGACGACGAAGAATGACGTCATGTTTAGTTTCACTCCATGAACTTATTTTGTTTTCATCTTTCTCCAGAACTGAAACAGTCCTCAGGACGTTTGTCTCTGTGGTTAATGGGAGATTCGCTGAACATGGAAACATCTGTTTCTTCTTCTTGTGTGATTTAGTTTATTTAATTAAAGCTGGCTGATTGATAATATTCTTTACGTGTGACTGAAATAAAATAATACTTCTTGTTTGTCCCGTCCGATGACAGTGAGAGGCTGCAGGGAGGACATGACATGATGATGAAGCGGGTCAGTGAACGCACCTTGGCCTCCTTGAGTGAGGACTGGATCCCGTCTCTGTGCTGGTGCATCTGGTCCACGTGGACCCTCCAGTCCTGCAGGACCAACACAGACCAGAGAGTGAGAGCCACTAACACTGACAGCCAACCAGAGAGCATGCTGGGAAACTGCAGGTAACCTTCAAAGCCTTCAGTCACTCATACAGAAACAAAAGCTTGTTACGATCACGCTGGACGAGTGTGAAGCTCCGGCAGAGTGAAGCGTCTTTCACTTCATCTCACATCTGGCGGAAGCTCCGACACCTCAGGTGAGCGCCAGGCGAGCGCCTACCTTGTTGTCGGTCCTGATGGTGACTTTGAGTTGCGGCAGGACTCGCTCCACCTCCAGGTTCCACTCTGTCGCGTCGACCGTCGACTCCAGGATCTCGTCGGGTTTGGAGGACGTCTCAGCTTCCTGCCAGAAAACAGACGCCGCGGCGAGTTCAAAGCTCGGAGCGAACGTGAGAGCGTGAAAGTGGAAATTATGATGTAATCTTATTCTGAGGTGATCTCACAGTGTGAGTGCTTCGTAACTTCAGAGCCTCCAGGTCCATCACGTTCTCCTCCTCCTCGTCCCCTTCGTCCTGGTCACACACAAAACAATCATGAGATGTGAAGACGATTCATGGCTCGACCCGCGCAGCGCTGAGCATTAAAAACACGGTCATGACAATATATTCGATTATGATTTCTGCTCTAAAGTGTGATGGACTTTATAAAACGAGGGAAATATTTTGTAATAAAATACATGAAATTATGTTTTTAAAATAAAAGCGTGAGGATGTTTTATTTTGAAATCTGTTCCCTGATTTCCTCTCAGTGTTTGCTGATCTCTGACAGAGGTGCAGGAAACCACCGCAGTAAAAACAGATTCATCCTGTAAGTGTGCCGAAGGGAAAAGAAGAGGAAGTTAAACGAATGCGGAACACCTACGATCAGCTCCTCCTCCACTTTCCTGAGCGTGAGCTCGGCGTCGTCCTCCACCACAGACTCTTCTTCTGTGTTTTCTGATGGGTAGTTTGTCCTGAAACAGAGACAGAAAGAAGTAAAAAAAACTTCTATAAACACAGAAGCAACAAAAGCAGCCTGACGAAAAGAAGAAAACAGACGGCATACTTCCTGAAGGTGAAGCCTCTCTTCCTGAGCGCCTCCTCAGCCAGTCGGTCCAGCACGAAGCAGACGTACTCGCCTGAGCCCGACTTCAGTTTGGAGGGCGGGAAGTCCACCTTAACACCCTGAAAAACAGAGGAGGAATTAAAAAAGCGTCAAACTCTTCTTGTTTAACGGAAGCTCCCGCCTTCGCACAATCGGTCAGATTTATCAAAGCACAAACAAACGAACTCCAGACATACCAAAGCTCATTTCCAGCTTCTAAACTCTTTCTGTGTGACTCACAAAGGCCCGCAGTTCTGCCAGGATGTTGGACACGGTGGCGTTGGGTTCGTCGTACTCCTGCGGCTCGGTAAACGGCCTCCCCGCCACATTGATGAGCCACGCTGCGATGATGGTGAACATGTAGAACTGCTCGCCGGGGTTAGACGCCAGGTATGGACTGGAGACGAAGTAATGCCTGCGCGGAGAAAGCAGAGGGGACTGAAGGGTTTTCCTTCACTGTGCACAAAACATCAAATCAGCACAAACACTGGAAACAAGCCTGGATTTCATTTTATTTTTATGCAATACTTTGTCTGGGTTGATCGATCAATCAACAGAAAATAACAGAATAAAGATCAAGAACTGAAACGCTGCATTGTCCCAACAAATGAATAAATAGCAGAAGAGCACTCGTATCCTCCATCTTTTTGCTTCAGTCGCTCAGAAGTGAGGGTTGTAGGCGGCTCTCTCTCCACCACAACGGTCCAGTACAATGCCAAGGCCACACAAACCCTCAACATCATACTTGAACTCCATCACTCTCCTCCAACCAGAGGGATGAATGAACAACACAATCACGTATCTTTAGGACGTGTCTGTGTTTTTATCTCATTATATTTTTGTAAACGTATGACTAGTTACTACTAGTTACACACTTCGATTGTTTTTTCCTGCTTCTAAATCCTAAAAAGGACACCGTACTTACATCCGAACTATGCGCTTCTTACCTGGACAGGTTCTTCATGTTGTGTTTGCCCAGAACCTCCTCCTCATAGTTGAGTGCATTCAGCTTCTCCAGCAGGCTCTCCATCACTGCGACCCCCCGGTAAGCCGCTCCGGGCCCTCGGTCCTCCTCGTCGCCGCGTCTGCCGTCCTCAGCCATCCTGCAAGTTTCACGTTTACGTGGAAAATGTAAAAACCTAGCACCTTTAACAGATTAGCACTGCTAACCTGCTAGCGGTGTTTGTTTGGCTTCTGTTGTCAGGCAACCGAAAGCTAACCAGCTAAGCGGCTAGCTGACGTTAGCAGATAGCGACTTCGTTATAACATTTTAAACACTGGTTTAAACTCAGTCATTGGTCACATTTCTTTTATAAGCTGTATCAATATCCACAGTTTGGAGAAAAGGTGTATAAAATGAGTCTGAATCCTCTCAGTGCCGCGTTAGATGCTGCCGTTAGATTAGCTCCCTTCTTTGTGTCGGCTAGAAAACATCGCAACAGCGACCTCCGCAGGCTGGAGTGTGAGCTTAAAAACCGAATTTCCAATATCCAAAGATTAAAAGCTCCCCTAAACTGAATACACACACACACACACACACACACACACACACACACACACACAACCTGGTCCCAAACACATTTTGCGTTTCCAAAACCACCTCTATAAATTCTCTATAGGCTCCTCTTGTTCATGTTTATCTTTCATCTGTTTCTTTGTTAATTTCTAGTTGTGTTATTTCAGTTATTATATTGTTTGTGGTGTACAGTATGACAGCGTCTAAGGCAGGGTGGGGGAAGGATAGGATATGTAATAAAAGGATAGAAATGCACAATATATCGCCAACTGCTGCACCTGGAACACAAAAAGGAGAAAATACGCAGCTACATAAATTATCAATCTTCTCGTGGTGTGTGAGAGACGGAGAGTGAGTGAGAGTGTGTGTCTTTGTCACAAATGTACTTGATAATGAGGGTGGGAAACTGCAATAACATCCCAGGAGCCAGAGGCAGACAGAGATCGATCTGAGCCCCCAA